GTGTCTAAAAGGCAATAAACTGTGACGCATCCACTAATAATAGAATTTATGATGTCTTTGGAATAGTAACTGGGAAATATGTAACAAATACTCAGGATTCCTGGTAAGAAACGAGGTCAATGCGGTAATTATAAAAAAGAGGAAACTGGACTGCAACAAAGTGATTGTGCGTGAAATTCAAAAGGATTTCATGGCCGTAAAAAATGGTTCATAGTATGTCCAATGTAGATGCAGTTTTGATACATTTTAGATGCCTTGTCCAACAAAAGTTTTCATAATTTGGTATTTTAGGCTATGTGAAGATGCATTTTTTTTCCAGAAAATGTTTTATGTGGATCCAATTTTTGTGGCAGTCCCTTGATATATGTAACTACTAATATTATGTCCTTCGAAGATGGTTTCTGATATGGTCATTAGTAAAAATATTAGATCTACTAAAAGTTTTCAATATTAGTTCACAGTTTGTCCATAACCCATTAAGAGGTACCAACGGATGTGGTGTTGGTGTTTTTAGCTAAAGTGCTACAACTGGTATATTAAAATTTAGACAGATACTCCCAGTTATTGGGAGCTTCTTCTTCCCTTAATTTCGGATTCCCGAAAATATTGGTAGGGGTTTGGTCTCTTCCCCTATTACCAATTTCTCCAGCCATATGGCTGAGGATATTTTTATAGAGAGCACATTTCATTTGATACGGTCAAAACATGCCTAGTCGAAATAACGGTTTTAGACCCTAGGTCTCTTTGGACAGTTGGAGCCAATTCAGCGATGTCCGTCCGTCTGTCTGGTTGGTGCGCACGATAACTCTCGAAGGGAGTATCCGATTAGGTCCAAAATTGGTACAACATAATATTTTTATCAAACTCAGATCGAGATCGGAGATGGGATATTCGCTTCACTCCTACTGGCACCTCCCTCACAAAACGTCGAAATTTTCAAAAAATATATTTTTTGAACAAAATGTGAATCGATAATCCGATTTTGCCCCAACTTTGCAAATCCTAATATTTGCATCAGTGCTAGGTCAGGTGCGAAAATATCAGTCCTCTCCATCAAGTACCTCCTCCACAAAAGGGTCAACATTTTCAAAATTACAATTCTTATAAAATGTGATATAAGAGTCCAATTGTCTTCAAATTACAATATTTTTATTAACCCATGATCTGGTGTTAAGAAGGGTACCTCCCCAACAAAATGTCGAAATTAAAAAAATAATATTTTCTGCAAAGAAAGAAAAGGGAAAATCCTTTTTTCTCCAGCTTTGCAAATTCTAATATTTGCGTCACTTCTGTGTCAGGTGCAAAAATGGATAACAGCGGTACACTCCATCAAGTACCTCCCCCTCAAAGGGTAAACATTTTGAAAAATTATAACTATTATAAAATGTGATTTAAGAATCCGATTGTGTTTAAACTTCACACAACCCAATATTTTTATATACCCAAGATCTGGTGCTAAGATGGAATATATCAATCCTTTCCTTCTGGTACCTCCCCAACAAAAGGTCGAAATGTTCGAAATGTTTCAACAATCACAAGATCTGTTGTGAAGATGGGATATATCGGTCTACTCCTTCTGGTATCTCCCCCTCAAAGGGTCAACATTTTGAATATCTATGGAAGCTCCGATTCCATTCGGACTTGGCACATCTCAATATTTCCATCAACAGAAGATATGTGGGAATCGGATGGTAGGAATCGAAACATTTCTTCTGGTACCTCCCCCACATAAGACTCAATATTTCGAAAAACAAATCGCTCAAAGAAATCAAACATGCATCCAACTCTCTTCTGATTTTTTTCTAGCGCAAGATCTGTTGTGAAGATTATATATATCTGCTAACCCCTTCTGGTACCTCTCTCACAAAGAGTCACAATTGTCTATACTTTTTTCTGTCAATGATTTTTTACAACTTGCTATGTCTAAATATTTTTCTTAACCAGAAACTTGATATCAATATGGAATGTATAATTTTGCATAAAATTGGATAAAAATGTTCTATTTTCCTGTAATTTTGCCCAGATCAATATTACTATCTGTATGTATATATCTAGTAACTCACACGCATTTTCAAATTTCTAAAAATTATCACATATCTCATGTAAAGTGAAGATAGTAGTCGATATAGTCCAAACCTGGCACGTCGCAATATTTGTATCATATTTATTTATGTCCGATACGAAATGGACAATATTGACCCATTCCTTCGAAACCTACTCCATAGAGGATCAAAATTTTAAATAATCATAACAGAAGTCAAGATATATTTAAATAATCGAACAATGGCTAATGGGTATACATCTGTCGGCAATATCGACCGATATGTTTTAACTTCTTCTCGTACATTTGTGTGCCATTTCCCAAACTAATTCGGTATAATTAAATTTACCTTAAGTCGTAGGGTGTAAAGGTTCGTTTCTAAAGACGTCTTTACTAGTTTTCTATATAAAAATTATTAATATTTAAATTTAAATTAATTAAAATTAAATACTTTTCAAGTGAATATTTTGATTTTTCTCAATTGGTAAAATATTATAAATTTTTCAATTAGAAAAAACATCACATCGGTTGGACCATACATAATGAGAATACCCTCCTGCCAACATCATATCAATTTAAATTAGTCGTATCGATTTTAAGAATTCCTGCCCTGCCTCTGCTATTTAAAAATATTTAAAGTGGCTTCTATTTTGAAAAAAAAAAATAAGTCAAGCAAAGCAACGAAATCTACAATTCAATTAGGCAAACGGATACCAATACTTGGAGCAATGGGAAAATCTCTCAGCGATAGGGAGGGACCACCATGCTTGTAGAAATGTGACGGACTATTTAAAATGCAACTGTTTCCATGGGAATTATAGAAGAAACGGCTGCATTTAGTAAAACCAAATCTAAGTGTAAATCTTGCATGTTTTCATTTTCTCCATCTTTAGTTTTCAAAAGGAATCTAACCAGTTTCGAATAGCACATGCATCGCTTTGTCCAAGTGGTCGAAGTGTGTGAGTGTGTTTTTAGCATTTCAATGTGCCTTCTCATTTGCTTAGTTTTACTGGTACTCGTATCTTAATGTCCGATCAAATGCACGTTGTATGCGACTGGTGCAAGTTATAGTCTATAAATTATATGCAATTGCAACATTGTTGCAACTTGTTAGATGTGCTTAAGTGGTTTAAAAATGTTAAAATGTAAATTAATGGACATTTATATAAAAAAGCAAGACGTGCACAGTGCTACGGAAAAATATAATTTTTAAAATTTGTATGCCATTTATGATATATAGTGTGTTTATGTAGTTTTTTTATATAGCAGTTTTGACAGTTTAAACTGACGTCTCTACTCAGAATTATTTGGCAAATCAGCATGATAGATTTACTCTAGAACAACGTTTTCAAATCGTGGAAATTTATTTTCAAAACCCATGGTTAAGCATTTCGTGAAGTTTAAGGTGCACATAATCGTCCGTCGGAGACCACCAGAAAGAACGTTATTACCAAATTTCGGAAAAGAATGAGCAGATTGCGCACAGAAGAAAATATTGTTGTCGGTTAGGCCAGTGTCGAGAAAATGGCAATTTGTCGATTCGTCCTGCGCAAGAAGTTGACTTTGTCCATCGACTTTATAGAAACTTTTGCGTAAGGATGCCTTACAAAATTCAATTGGTGCAAGAATTAAAGCAACACGACAACGAATTATTTTTAAATGTTAAATATCAAGAAATTAAATGTGCCATATCGGTCCACGTTTTCGTATAGCCCCGATATAACGGTACCTCCCGATATTCGGTATTTTCATGATTTTAGCGACAGTATTTACAGGAATTATTTCAAATCTCATATTTAAAGTTCGTAATGGGTACTACACCCTATTACAAAAAAAAATTCTATGCAGGTTCAACTCTTCTATAGCTCCCATATAACGGTACCTTGCGATATTCGGTATTTTCATGATTTTAGCGACAGTATTCACCGGAATTATTTCAAATTTCAGATTTAAAGTTCGTAATGGGTACTATGACAAACATTTTTTATGCAGGTCTACGTCTTCGTATAGCCCTCATATAACGGTTCTTCCCGATATTTGGTATTTTGGTAATTTCAGCCACATTATTCACCGGAATCGTTTCAAATTTCGTATTGGGAGATCATACAGGTTACTACAACCTATGGAAAAAATTGGTTTATTTTCATGATTTTAGCGGCAATATATACCGGAATTATTTCATATTTCGTATTTGAAGTTCGTAATAGGTGCTACAGCCTGTGACAAAAAATTTTGTATGCAAGTCCACGTCTTCGTATAGCCCATATATGACCTCCCGATACTCGCTAATTTTATGATTTGTGCGACATTATTCACCGGAATTGTTTCACATTTGGTATTGGAAGTTCATAAAGGGTACTACAGCCTATGGCTGCTTTTACTTGTTATTGCTAAATTTTGAAATTTTTGTTAAGGGAAGTTACAAAAGTATGTAAAGAAGTTACAAGTTACAGTATAGAAAAAATACTTAAAGGGTTGTTATTTCAAATTGTAACCATTTGTTGGGGAGTTTCTGCAAAGATGGGGATAATATTGCTATTTTCGTCCCTAACCTAAGTCTTATCTAAATATTATGGTGTTTGAACTTTATCGGAACTTTATGGTGCACTCACTTATTACAAAATCTTCAATTTGTATCCAATTTTTTTTTAACTTTTGTAGGAGGAATACTAGGAGGAGTGAACCAATATTTCTCATCACTGAACTCGTCTAAGTTTAATTTTGTTGGGTTTCGATGCATCAAGTTTGGATAAATCGGGGCGCACAGACAGGCAGATAGACGGGCATGGCAAAATTTTCTCCAAATATCGTAAAAACGGTTTCGTTTAACTAGATCTTACGCACATTTTGGCCGCATCCAATGGTGAATGACTTCTGATTGTGTAATAAGGTCTATTAACTCTTTACATTGTTAAAGACATATAATTTAAGAAACACACATATTCAAATTATCACATACCTGCAACATTGAAAATAAATTATCTCGACCCGTGCCACCTCGAACGTAATATCTGCATTACTTCGCGTATGAAAATTTTCAGCCTTTTGGATAACTCGTACCACTGTTCAATTCATAGAAAGCCACTATCTTCAAATCGCCAGACAGCATGTTCAGCTGGTTCATTAAAGCAAGTGTTTACTGCAAAAAAAAATAAAAAAAGAAAGAAAACATTTTAGATATCAAAACTATTCTCCTCGCCATCGCCACAATGTGGGCAATTAAAACAGACAAAGCTGCAAAAAATATTAATAATTTATAAGATGACAGCGAAACAACCTACACGAACTAAAAACAAACAGCACTTTATTTTTACATTCAAACATGACATGTGGAATTCTTTTTCAAGTAGCAGCAACAACGTTAATTGCTTGCATAGTTGATTTAAAACAATGTTGTTTTTTTATTTTCTTATTAATAAATAAAAATATTGAAACTATTGCAGACTGACTGAAACGACTTCTAAAAAAACATGCCCGTTTTTAGACATTGACTTTTCCGTACGGCCAGCATTCTTAGACAATTGGGTTATAATAAAATATGGTATTTCCTAGAAACTAAAACATTTCACTTTTTTTTCCTGTTCCCATCACTTACATTGTGCGTCTTCTTGCCATTTAAAAAGTCATCGCCCCATACATCCTCATGGAATGGGCCATACTTTTACTACCACACCACAATGTAAATGCCATCATGGCAAAGAAAATAAAAATGGCAACATAGACATGACTAAGAAAAACACAAACAAAATAACAAATACGCTGGAATGAAAAGCAAACAAACAAAAAAATGGCACAGAAAGAACAAATCTAATAAAGTAATATCGCGCACGAGTAATTTTAAGCAAGTTTTCCATTTAGATAATGGAAAAAGTCCATTTGGCAAAAACAAAAAGAAACGAAAAACAAACAACTTCAAATGAAAACGGAGTACCGCAGTGTACGTTTTATACATACGAATTCCTCTCAAACAACATGTAATAATGTAATTGTATGTAGGCATGCGTGTGTATGTATATTTTGTACAATATCTATCTTACAGTTATTCTTATGCACGTACATGATTTGGGTTGAATGGAAGTAAAAATATACGTAGATTTGTATTAAAAGAAGGATGACCGAACACAAAGACTTTGTTCACTCCCACATCTAAACGGACTATTCATCTAATGTCAATGGGGCTTGTCCTTTTCGTTTGATGTCAAATAAGTTCGGAAGAGAAAAGTTTGATTAGAAATTAAAGCTATTCAATCAATAAGTTTGGTAAAAAAGGAAAGTTGTATTTGTCTGAAACATAGTATTTAAGATTATTGCGGTAATACTTTGCAAGGACTATGTTCTGATTAAGATTGGATAAAATAATATTACCGTTTTATAAAAGTCGATACACATGAGATACATTAAATTGTGATATTTTTCTAATAATATATTAGAAGATTAAAATAGCAGTATAGATGGGACAATAGTCAATGTACGTCCTCAGCCTACTACTTTATATGTATATACAGGGTTTTAATTTTTACATTTTTTAATTTTATTGAATGAAAGCAAAAAATGTCGGAAATAGCATCAAATTTTAGAATAAGTTTAGATTTTTTCAAATTGGCCTCCTTTGGCCCGAATTATGGCCTTCAAATGACTGCGGCCAAAATGTTTGCGTGCCCAAGGGTATATGTAATATAACCTCCAGAATATTTTCGAGATAATGTTCGGCATTTATTCTGAATCCACGGTCGATTAATACGAGCGGAGAGCGACCATCGGCTTTTATGGCGGCCCACACCATCACCATGACCGGCGCTAGAGTTTTGGTGGCCAACCGAAGGTGCACATTTTCAGCTGACCTCTTTGGCAAGTAAACACGATCATTTTGTTTGTTTACAAACTGCTGGACAACGAATGTTTTCTCATCGGAGGAAAACCAAATTCGGCAGTTCACCACTTTCGGCCAAGCGAAGCTAATCTTTAGCTCTTTTGAGTCCATTTTCTTTCTGTTGCGGTTTAAGTTCTTGCACTTTTTGGAATTTCAATGGCTTTACCCCGAGCTCATTTTTCACTAATTGCCGGATAGAAATTTACGATATGTTCAGTTCACGAGCCATTTTTTAGCCACTGCGACGCCGGTTTTGATCAAGTCCCTTCTTTACTTTTCGAACCATTTCTGCTGATGTTGCTGTTTTCTTCCGTCCACTTCCTTGAAGTCGGGCTAAGCGGAGCGTATGTAACGAGCGATGGTACGAAACACAAAAGATTTATTCACATTTAAATGCTGGAGTGCTCTAACGATAGCCACTTGTGGTTTTCAAATATAAAGAAATCACAATATCACGCTTGAATTCCATCACAAATAACTTTTTTGTGGGAAATCCGCACCAAAATGCTTTTGAGTGCTTGTGAACAATATAATGAGCTGTCACTGGAATAATTTTAACAGCTGTCGGACGAGTGGCTTTGAAATGACAGCAGTCTGAAGTTGGTTGCAGTTGTTTCATCTCACCCTGTATAGTTACTTTTTTGTCCGGAAAGACTCTGCTAAACATATTTTAAAAAATTTGCATTTTCTCAAAAAGTATTCCTCGAAACATATATGAGAACAACACCATTGTTGGTCAAGATATAATTAAAAATGGTTAAAATTTTTAGAAAGTCCGTGAAAATATATTAGGGTTGGCAGAAATTTGATCACATGAGACATCGTTGGCAAAGTACAGAGTCAAGATTTTTCAAAAAGGTCGATTTTACAGGAGTTATCAAAATTTTTTGTCAAAGGAGATAGTAACTCCAAATGCAAAATTTGGAACAATTATAGTGAAAAATGTGAAACAAATAATAAAAATCCGTAATATTTTAATTTCGCATACGGACTAAAATTGAAGCTAATATTCCTAAATTATGCTCTCTATGAGATATATAAATCTCAGTCGTGTGGCTGCAATTGATATATATAATTTGATAAGGTCTACGTTTATTTTATCGAAATAAGGGTTTAAAAGTACCCCAGTTTTTTTCGGACGAAAGAAGTTTCAGGGCATTTTTAGTTAACCTAGCAAAATCCGTCCACCTGCCTGTGCGCGTTATTTTCCCATAAAACTTGGAGATAGGCAAAAGTTTCCATGTGGTATGGGCCATACCTTCTGGTACCAAACCCACATAAGTAAGATATAAAATTGAAGAAATTTGTTATTTCCTTCTCTACAATTGTTGTGATTCGTTCAACATGACCCTGTAAAGTAACTCCTTCCCGACTTTCTTAGAAAAATGAGCTAATTATGCGTTTAGACCAAAATCCGCACCAAAAGGTGACTAGTTTTGGATGTGATAATAAAAAAATTATATTATTTATTAAAATCGAATGACACAAAAGAAGTACTCTACGTAATTCCACTTCCTAATAGGCTTCACATTTTTATACCCTACACCACAAGGTGGTCAGGGAATTATGTCTTTGTGCATTTGTTTGTAACAGGCAAAAGGAAAAGAGATAGACCCTTAGTTCATTTTGATGATCTGCATAGAATCACTTTCTGAGTTGATTTATGCATGCCAGTCCGTCTGTCCGTCCGTCCGTCCGTCCGTCCGTCCATGTATTCTTGTGAACAAAATGCAGGTCGCATTTATTATCCGATTGAGATGAAATTTTGCAAACAATATTTGTTTGGCCCAAGGACGAACCCTATTGAAATTGGAGATAATCGGTAAAAATTTAGATATAGCTCCCATATATATCTTCGTCCGATTTGCCTTTTATTGTGCACCAAACGTTAGTATCAGCCCGAATAGTATGGAATTTTGCACATTCAATCAAATTTACCTACACCCGTAATATGCACTCCGTAACAACGATATTCAAGGAAATATATCAAATACCACTCAGAAATATCTTTGCCAAATTTTATCGAGATCGGTTCAGATTTGGATATAATTCCCATATATATCTTTATCTGATTTCAAATTAATTTTGCACCAAATGGGCAATACAAGTCCGAATTTAAAAGATACAAATGCTTCGGCGTATTTAGTCTTTGAATTTTAAATTATAATTATAATCATAGCGTGTGTGATTGAATTCTCCCATAAAAACTTTTAATTATTAAGTGGAGCTCAACTAAATTAGCAAAGTGGTGTAGGGTATCATAAAATCGTCCCCGCCCGACTTTAGGACTTTCTTTACTGGTTTCTTTTTTGTCGGTCTAAATATGAAAAATTTTGAATGTTTCGAATTTATTACACCATAGAGTGGTAACATCAATAGCAAAAATGTGCAAATCAAAAAATTTTACAGTCAGGTTGTGCTTTAATTACTCAAAAATTCTACGTCGCAATTATGTATACATAAAATTATATAAAATTAAAGGCCCCAAAAATATAAATATATTCTTCGAAGTGTAATGGTCCTACTCATGTTCATATTTCCCTAAACGATTTACTTAACGATTTTTGAAAGACAAGTCCAGTGAAATGAGAAAACTTACTAATTTCCAAAAAGAATAAAAACATAAAATAGTTGTATCGAAAAGAAATTAAAAACGTCAAATTGAGTTCAAAGTTAATCTGAATTTTCTAAACTTATTTCTTCCTAAGCCCCATCACCAATTGGTGAAGGCATACACGCACTTAGAAATCAGAAATAATGTTAATTACCCACATTTTTAAATAAATCAATAAAATCGAAAGAAGCTAATAAATAAAAATATGTATGCAGCATTTATCTAACGTCACATGACCCATAATAATAATCATCATCATGACAATAACTACAGACAATAAAAATTAAATATCGCAACCCTGCTGGGCATGGGTTTATTAAAAGGAACACAGAAATAAAACTCAAAAAACAGAAGCAATAACAACACTTACATTAGCTTGCAAAACTAAAAGACAAGTCAGCAATGACTATTCCAAGAAGATGAAAAACAACCAATTTAATCTACTTTTGGCGCCAAGTGTGTTATTATTTTTGCTTTCCTTAAGTTCGCGGCATGGTTGAATCCTCCCCCCTTGCAATGATTTTCATAAGAACCGTGATGACTATCGGAGACTTGTGGACGTCAGTGGCTTAAGTGAATAATACAGACAAATATACCAACTGACATTTATTTAACATCTTCTAGAGCTGAGGGTATAACGATTATATTACGCTGAGTTTGTAAACCCCACAAAAAAAAGAAATAATGCCAAGACAAATATTTCCAAAATGTCCATCATCCCTCCAAAGTTTCAGCTTTGTCAATTGTTATATTTGTTGTTGTTTCTCTTCGTTTTCGCTACATTGTTTGCTGATTTGCATTTTTTTGTATTTGTTACAATTTTGCAAATGTAATGAAAGCCACAAGCAGCCATTCTGTAAATATGTAAATTAAAAAAACTCTACCAAAGAAATGGGGGAGTAGACGCAATTTATTCACCGCAAACTATTTTGTGGATACATTTCTATTGGGTAATGAAAATACTTTTTGTGCAGGATTCACAATGAAATAAAGAAATGTTGTTCTTTTTCGCGAAAAAAAGGGAGTGGACGTCATTAGCTAGAAATCGTTTAAAAAGAAAAGCGGGAAAAATATCCATTAACAACCGTTTTTTAGGAAATGCAACTAATGTTTCACAGATTTGATTAAGTTAATGAATTTTTTTTTTTTTTTTTTTTTTGAAATAAAATATATAGAGAATTTAGCGCCCTGTTTTTTTTTTTTTTCACATGACTAGAAAAGGCATATCTCTGGATAATACAACTATATAAAATACAATAATGAATACGACTAAAACAAAAAATAAATTTTAGACTAACATTGAAATATGTAACACTGTAGACTAAGTTTTGGAAAAAAAGTGTGACTCTACTTATACCAGATTAGTATCTCAAAAACAAAAAAAAAATATTTTAGCCTTTAAATTTGTTCATCAAAAATCCATTCATTCAGTCTTGAAAATGAAGTTTTAGAGGCATATTAAAAAAGTAAATAAATTGGTTGCTGAGCTAGTACCAATATAAAAAACAGACCTTCTTGTGTGACATATTGGGCCCATAGCCAAATCGCCATTGTGGCCATATTCATCCGTTCTACTATGGGACCAATGACATGTTTTTGAGACAAAACAACAGGGAGGTGGTAGACCTTCCGAAGTTCGTTTTTAGGCGCAATATCTACAGCATTTCTTCGAATATAGCTGCAAGAATATAGATATAGCTCCCACATATAACTTTCATCCGATTGCATATTTAAGCCCCTCAGTCTCTTAATATGATCTCTATGACAATGAAATTATGTACGATGTATTAGATAAAGCTTAGAAATACTTTTGACAAATTTGATCGAAATTGGTTCAGGTGTTCATATAGCTCCCATATATATTCCCCTTAAAAAATTTGTAAAATATATACAAACCGTACTATTTTTGTCTAAGTAGGTTGTATCTTGGATCATACGATACAATTCCGTTATGAATAAAGTCTGTCATATTTGGACCTATAGCTGACATATACATATATTTTATCCGATTTCAAGCCGGATGATTTTGGACGTTATTTACTTAAAAATATACAACATATAATCACTTATTTTTTAATAGAATTATAATATATATTATATTGTCGGTCCAGAATGACTTTTCTCTTTTTCATACTCGTTAAAATATGTAGTTTATAAGGACGGATCAGATGAAGCTTCTAACTTGAAGACTCTGTCTTGCGCCAAGAATACCTTTATATCTTTTATTGAATGCTTTTCGATCCATGCTTTAATATAGTATCTGCATAAATGTTTTGAGTGAACTTTTTCATGGTCGTATAATATTTGTCGATAATATTTAATTCACATATTGCTGAAATATGTTTATTACATTTGTGAGTTAAAAAAAAAAGCAAAAACAATATTAAACAAGTAAGCAAAGGCTACAGTCGAGCGGGGCCGACCGTTGAATACCCTACAACACTACAATAAACCATACAGTTTATATAGGCGAAATACTCGACAGAATTCCACAAGATATTGTGACAAATAATAAAAGAAAACCATCAGGTTTCGTTCTCTAATTTTCGAATAATAGCAACTTAAACTAATTTGCTCATTTCCAATTTATTGGTAGATGTTGCACGTTAATTGTCTTCCTAGATCTGGAACTAATATTTCCCAAAGACCTATAACCTTTCAGAAGTGGCAAAAGATTAACATTTATTATTGGTTTTTGACTGAAACGCATCTATATGAGATACAGACATTTGACTATATTCTTCAACGAAATCAGCGTTAAAAAAAAGTCAGAAGTGCGTCTTTCCTGTATTTGTGAATTCTCCAAAAAGTCACTGGAATGGACATTTTCGTATTTTGTTTACAAAACTTGGCAAACTATTTCGCACATTGAATATTTTTGGATGGCCATCCGAAACGGCTTGGCTTTTGCAATGTGCGGTAACCCCCATTCAAATGTGCGTGAGGATCGGGCGATAATTACGACCTGTCGACAATTTTGCAGTTTTTTGGTCCATTTCAACCCCTAAATATATGGCGTTCATCTCCAAAAAGAGTAGGCTTCTATTCTAACCCTCATCTTATCCCCATGCAAAATTTCGTAAGGATCGGGCCATAAATGAGATCTGTATATGATATCCTGATATCCTAACTACTTAGTTTTGTCAGCTGTAGAAATATTACCAAATGTTTAATTCAAAAAAAATGAAAATATGCCAAAAATATGACAAAATTGAAAAAATATGAGAAAATTTTACAAAATCAATATTTTCATCTTTAGAGAGATAATTTTATGCGATTTTTTTAGACGTTTTTTTTTCCTGACAAGAGGCCATTCTGAATTAATGAGAACTGTCGAAATCAGTTCAGCCGTTATAGATATATAGGAGATCTTTCAAGCATATCTCCTTTGATAGACATATATATCGCTCATATTTTGCTATATATCCGATTTGTTGGATGTTAACATCAATGTAAAGATCAGAAGTAACCTTGTCATGGCTTCGTGATTTCGCCGGGATTTAAAATATTCGCGGTTTAATGAAAAATTTTGATTTTTTTCAACACAAAAGATATGGTCTATTTTACCCGCTAGATATTATCCGATGACCACCCAAATTAGTAGGCTTCTTCCCCGCCCTAAACTCTATCTACATGCGAAATTTCGCGTCGATTGGTCTATAATTGCGACCTGTATAGCTACTGCAAAATCCGACATTTTTTCAGTATTTGGTCCATTTCAACCCCTAAACATTTGGCGATCATCTCCAAAAGAAATAGGGTTCTATTCTGACCCTAGCCCCACCTACATTCTAAATTTCGTGAAGATCGGGCCATAATTGCGACCTGTAGAGTGATTACAAGTTAACATGGACAGACGGACAGACGGACAGACGGACGGACGGACATACATAGCTAGATCGACTCAGCTCGGCGAGCTAGGAAGATCCATATATACTTTCCTATGTGGGAAACCAATATTTCGAGGTGTTACATAATTTTTGGCCCAATCAAACTTATAATACCCCCAACACATAGTGTTGTAGGGTATAAAGACGCTACACCTACACATTCACCCCAAGGAAAAGTTGCAATCTAGATTCCCAACATACCAAAATGGCTTGAGAATAATATTACAATAAGCTTATGAACATAAGCCTTAAGCTTGAGAAAATCTTGAGAAAACATTGAAAAATGTTTGTATAACAAGTATAGAATAATCGAAACGGAACCCTTATTTATAAGCTTATACTTGAAATTGTAGAATAAGCTTACAAGAATAATATTATAATAAGCTTATTTTTGTAATAGTATAAAATATTATTTTTTTTTTAGTTTTTAATCATTTTTAACGTTTTTTCTTGATGGACATCCCAGTAGTCACTGCCGCATGTGGCCTTGATACCCTGACGCTTTCTTCTCCCTTATTTGAACTTCTGCATCTCTTCCACTAAGACTACACATTTATTAAATTCCTGCAACTTTTTTGATGCTTCCAATCTGAAATGGGATTGGAATAATTTATGTGAAAGATTCCCGGATTTATTATTCATCCATACCTTAAGGGTTCGGTCCACAAATGGGTCCTAAATTCGCGTGATTTTGTTTTTTGCCAAAGAAAATAATTTCTTGCTGACAATTTTCACAAAAAATCAAAACTAATTTGTCAACAAGGGACAGACTTGAGAAATGTTTGTGAACATAAGTGTTTCTCAAGCATTGTTGAAAAATTATATTTTTATAATATTGTTCTCAAGCTGTATTGTATTTTTGGTATGTTGGGTTATTATTATAAATAAGAATTAGTGTTAATAATTTTTATTTCTAATAATAATCTAGATTTACAATTTTTGCCACTTTTTGCGATAATAATATAATGTAAACAGTTTTTTCTTAGCGCCAATAATAATATAAGGCTTGATTAAGTTTATATCTAAGGAAATTCCAAAAAAAAGCCTTAAACTGTTGCCAGATTCTAAATTTTTGTTTTCGAGGTTTTGAAAGTGTAATAATTAGTAATAATTTAAAATTTCGTATTTAGGATTTAAGTGGATTTTGTGGCACAAAATTGTCTACAGCCCCCATATGCGGTTCCTCCCGATATTCGATATTTTGTGGATCTTAGCCACACTTTTTTGTTATACGTTTTATTTATACGTTTTACCTCCTGTGGCAGAACTTTGTCTATATAGTCCTACTTTTTCGTATAGCCCCCATGCTGTACCTCCCGATATTCGAAATTTCGCCTCATTTTCTAACTGAAGAGATTGAAATTGAGTGTTTATAATATGGCCTATCTCATGTGACAGAACATTGTTTTTCCATAGCCCCGATATAAATGTACTTTCCCATGTTTGGTATTTTGATGATTTTAGTGGAATAGCTTAAAATTCGGTATTTAGAGTCCATAATTTATTCTATATTAAAACTTTGTCTCTATACCCCCTTCTGATATTCGTTATTTTGACGATTTTACCCACATTTTCTAACGTTATTAGGGAAAATTCAGTATTTGGAGGAAAGTATAAAAAGTTCAGCCAGGTCGAACTTAACGGTTTTTTATTTTGTCTAATACACGCGAATAATGAAACCGCCAAAATGGAAATTTTTAAAGTTAAATATGTAGAAATTTATGCTTTTTGAAATGGTATTTCTTTCTCAGGTACATTTAATGCTAAACATTCAAACATAAATATCGACATATTTACTGGTCAGTAACCCGGTTCTATATTTTATTCGAAATATGTAACTCCTCTCAGATACAATTAATCACCATCATATATTACACAAAAATATGCATACCAACATTTATTTTCCTGCGTTCCACTCAAAACCATGTAACCATAAATAATCGAAAATTATTGAATTTTATTTAAAACCAAATAAAGCAATTGGATAATTTTCCTCATCAACAGAAATTCAAAAACAAAACAAAAAAAGAAAAAACATATATCTTGAAACAGCCATTATCATAAATTATCGCTTGAAATTAGAATGGCGTTTCAAATGCTGGTCGAAAAATAAATTCCAAAGAAACAACAAATACCAGCAAAGAATACCAAAGCCATATCATATTTTGTGGGTAATTGAAAATGAATTTACATGCGGTTCAAGCATTTTAAGAATTTGTTTGTCACAATCAGTTGTGTTCGGTTTCGAATACGATATTCAATTGGTGTGGACAGAAATGTTTATGACGAAACGACAAATGACAGTTTCAAGTGGTGGCGATTAAATGCTCCAATGCAAAATCACAACTAAAAACAAAAAATGGGGAAAAATCAGTGCAATATGAAGCCAGTGCTGTCCATGATAAGAATACACTTTGAATGCATGCGATATGCAAAGGTCTAATAGAATACATAATTATATTTTGTTAATGAGGAAACCACATATTTTCGTTAATGAAAAATATCTTGAAAGTAAACCAAAACCTCAATATATTGATTCAGATAATGTTGAAGAAAATTAATTTAAATTGGTTTAATGACTGCACTCGAATTTATTTTATTAATTGACTGAAAATACAGAAAACCCACATTTACGTAAAAATTTCACTTATAAGTTCATATAATTGTAATTGTTATTCCAATGTGAAAATGTATTTTAATTTGTAATTGGATTAAATTAATATAGAACTGTTTATCACAATCAAAAATAAATAAATAAATAAAAATATATTTACATAAAAGTTTTTAAAATAAGAATATTTTTAATGCATTTTTTCAAAGTAATACAAAAATTTGTGTGTCCAAACATCCATTGAATTTCAATAAGTGTTTTACATTTTACTTTTTTTTAATTTTTTCTTCACATTTTTTTTTAACATACGGTCAATATAATTCCAACTCTGTATGCACAATAACGATTTCTTAGAATAATTCACAGAAACCACATTGAATCACCGACGTATCGAGGTGTTTGAAAGAAATGTCTTGCTGAAATCAAAATTTAAGTTAATGAACATAATTCTTCTCCCACGTCGCATTAGGGCCATTCTAAATCTTAAATGTTTTCCAATTGAACGATTTAAATCATAAGATGTCCTTTAAAAGATAGGGATGTACCGTTATATGGGAACTATAAGAGGACGTGGACCAGCATTAGCAATTTTCCGTCATAGGCTGTAGTACCCATTAGGGACTTCAAATTCCAAATTTCCGGTGAAAAGTTTGTTACAAATCATAAACATAACGAATATAAGGAGGCACCGTTATATGGGGACTATAGAAAAACTCAGACCAATATTGACATTTCTATTCAAGGATATTTCTTACATAATGGAAACGCATGATGCACAAGTTGCAGCAAATTCGGGTTAGAATTGTGATTTAAACACCCAAAAAACATTATATCTCTCGATACGTTTATTTGGGGGCTGGACCTATATATCCCATATTCAATACCAGAAGTCATGAAGACCTAACACACATCTGAGCATTTTTTTTTTCAAACTACTTCACTTCGTCGTTCAGCCTGCTGTCATTTCTAGGCCACTCGTCCGACAGCTGTTAAAATTATTCCAGGGACAGCTCTTTATATTGTTTACAAGCGTACAGGAGCATTTTGGTGAAAATTTTCGAAAAAAAAATATTCTTGATGGAATTCAAGCTTGATAATTTAATTTCTTTAAATATGGCTGGAAAATCACAATTGGAAATCGTTAGAGCACTCCATCATTTAAATTTGAATAAATCTTTTGTGTCTCGTACCATCGCTCGATACTGGTAGCGTAGGCCGACATTATTTAAATAATAAAGTCCAACATTGCATTTGCCAAATTAAAACCTAAAAAAAACTTTTACGCAAAAAATTCTAATTTAAAACCCAGATATGAAACAAATTACTTTATGTAGAGCTTTGAAATTTGGGAAACCAGTTTTCATTGGATTTAGAATTATTGATACTATAACTAGGCGATATTGATCCACGCTTAGATATTAATAATAATTACGATATTAATGTTCTCCAATATAGAAAAATTAAAACCTGTACTGGAAAATTAAAACCTGTAAATAGTTCCAGCTACAAATCTCAACATAGCTCGGTGCCAATTATATGAATTAATGAGGAAGGAAAATCTCTGCCACACCCTGCCAGAGCCACAACAAGCATCTAGAATAACAAAAGTTGACGAATGTGTTAGACATAACTTCGGTGAGAAGGATTTTTCCTTCACGTTAAATGTAGTTAATATAAGGACAAATTGCTAATAAGGCATTTTTAACAACAAATTCAATCAAAATATGAAACACTTAATTTAATTCTGATGTTGAAAAAAAATCAATCAAAATATAAAACACTTAATTTAATTTTGATGTTGAAAAATGTTGTTAATAAGGCTGTAAAGAACGACTAACGAGTTTAAATGATATATTTTTTGTATGTTTTTGAAACGGTGTTATAGAACAAGTGTATATCCGCTAGGACATGATGAAATATTCTTCTTAATATGCCAATCACCGATGTAGTCATTCCGGGGCCCATCAACTTTATGCTGCGAGTATATAGGAGGATTATGAAAAAAGTTTTAGAACGGCTTCTTACAAAAATTTCAGTCAAGTTTCTCCCCTACATTCTTAAATCGAGTTTGTAAAGAACGACTAACGGCTTTAAATGATTTTTTTGTTTGTTTTTGAAACGGTGCAAAGTTATAGAACATATGTATATCCGCTAGGCCATGGTGAGATATTTTTCCAAAAATGCAAATCAACGATGTAGTCATTCTGGGGCCCAGCAACTTTTTGCTGCGAATATTAAAGAAGGTAGTGAACAAAGTTTTAGAACGGCTTTTCTCAAAAATGTCAGTCAAGTTTCTCCCCTACATTCTTAAATTGAGGGTCTATCTATCAACTAAATAATTCTAAAATATGTTTTCATCTTAAAATTGTCCACTCTAATAAAGGTCTTAATTTCTTTTAAAAATTGTATACATGTTGTATCTTGTTTAATAATTTTTGCAAAGGTTACATTGCATATTTTTCTCATATATGTGAATTCTTCTTCTATAAGAATATATATAAGGGAATTCCAATTGCCGCTGGCCAACATGAAGTTATTTTTGTAAGAAAAAAATCCAAAAATATTTCAATACCAAGTAAACGGAAACAAAACTAAAATCTATACTAAAAAAATATTCTCATGAGACCACTGAAAATATTCAATACTGCACGCACACGAATGTTTCCGTCATCAGTAAGAGAGCGCCGCACACGCACACACATTCACACCAAATTCAATGTTTACTTGTGTGGGTATGAATAAGTTTGGGCGAAGAGAAACCGAAAACTCACACATTGAAAGGGGTAGTTCTTGTAAGAGAATTGGTTGGCATTCGATAGATATCAACGCTCTCCATAGTTTGGGCGGCAAATTCAAATTGAAAAACTGCAACATTGCCATCTGTCTGTGATTGCTTCCATTACAAGGCAGGGATGCATTTCCTTTTGTCGGTATATCACTGACATCCAGATGCCACTTCATATTTTCGATATGTAACTGTTGGAATGTTTCGTAGTATTTTTAAAAATGAAGAAATAGTAACTCCCGAATTTAAGAAATTGTTTTCATTTAAATTGAACGTATACAAACTCATAAAACATTAAATTAATTAATCAATTGGACTGATACAATTGGAATCACTTCATTGAGCATCCAACTGAGCGTCTTTGATAACAACCCATCTAACTTTT